AGTAAATCATTGCTGAAAGTATGGTTATAACTTATAACAATCAAGAATAAATATTTCACGGAAAATACAAAGACAAAAGAGGAGAAACAGATGCAGAGACTTCGGTAATCAACAAAATCAAAGCCCTGAATATTTCCAATATCGGAACTGTCCTTACAACTGCTTTGAATTCACTTAGAGTCTAATAGGTTCCTTAAGTTATGAGTTTTTCTGTGAGCACACAGAGGAGGCAAGCATTACAAAAACTTTTTCAATCTGTCAAGTCTTCTGGGAAACCTAGCAGATGTAGCATTCACATTTAAAGGTTATGGTGTCTAAAAGTCCATTCCTCGGGGGCCAGTATAAGGCAGAAAAGAAATTATTTCTAGTTGGAGCTAGAGAAAACCATCTGTGGAAATATATACTTTTAAGTATTTCCATATAATGCCTCTTTGTTGTATGTATTAAGTTTAAATTCAAACGTACATATCTATCTTTTTTTTTAATGCTGGTTCCAGATCTACAATTTGGAGGATTTGACTTACATTTTTATTGTATTGTTGGATTTTTCCGTTGGCTGCACAAACACAATACAATTTGAAGATGTCTCTGGGATTTGGTTATGCATTGTTTTACTTTTGATAGCTGGGATGGAATGAGAAAAGCAGGCAGAGACTGCACAAAAGTTAGATGGAGATGGAACAGTGACAAAACATACATTCTTCTTTTAATCTTCCCTGTGTTAAATTAGACAATCCATGAAGATTTTTAATTGAATGTAAACAAATAAAAATCCAACACTATGAGCTGCTAGTGCACTGATAACATTATATATAACCCCAAGCAGATTTACTTTATAAATATACAGACGACTCAACAGAGCACTTATTACCATGGGTTTCAGTCATCACATGCAATGGCTTCTAGACTGATGCAGTAATAATAGCCACACTGAGACCTTCTCTACACACATGGGCTTATTTGTGCAAGACTGTGAGGGATAGAGATAAACAATAAGACGCAGGGCTTGTTTTAACAATGGGAAAGTGATTTGACCTCGGGGATCAAAATGAACAGAGGGACTGTCTGTAAACATGGATGAATGGTTCATTGAATTAGTAATAATGGATGAAACTAGTATCCATGTCCTTGGAATAAAAACAAGAGCAATTACGATGAATCTAAATGAAAGTCGTGTAGTTGACAGTTTTATAGAAAGTATTTCCCTTCTTTGAAATACGTATGTACTTATTTTTTATTTTCAAAATGGGGATACATCAAAGACAACAGAAAAAAGGGCCGTCTACAGTCCACGCGTTCTGTCTTTCATTAAATCCAGTTTCAGCATTGCAAGGTGTGATTTTCCAATTTTCCACAAGGGACTTCACCTGATATTTTTAATGAGGTTTTTCAGCTATAAAGCGCCGATAAATAGTGGACAATTGCAGTTTTTCCAAGACATAAACTACCTGTGTCTTTCAATGCCATTTCTTTATTTTTACCTAGTTTTGTGCTCCACAGGAAACAGACGTCTGCGGGGACATCTGCTTTCAATTCCTAAAGGTTTACTTTGCCCAATCTGGCAACCCCACCTCCAGTCCAGCGTTGTGTGTTTTCACAAGACTGGTTCTTATTTGATTGTGTTTTAAGGAGTTAATGTCTGTCGAGAGTATATTTATTTCATAAGAATGTGATTTGAATGAGGGGATAATAAGGGCAACAACCCCATAAGCTAGAGACAGATCCTTAAAAAAGGTTTATGTGTTATGGGCTGGAACAGATTTGAAAGACTTATCTTAGTTTCACTTATTTATAAGGAGAATTAAAATATCATGTTTTCATGTGCATGTAATGTAAATGGCATCCAATAGATTCTGGTTGAAATACAATCCTCCAGTCAATTGATAGCCATCATGTTTGAAGGCAATTGTCCCCTGAGTTGAAACCTGACTCACCTATTATCCACATTTAGACTTTACAAGCTTAAATACATGCATCGGGAAGGTTAAAGACGACTACATTCTTTTTAAATAAACACAAATTGGAATAACCATCTACTGATCAGAGTTTAAGCATGTGCCCTGATCTTTCTCAATGCCTACTTGTCTTCTCTGCATTCAGCACTTAGTTTGACTTCTGGAGTTCACAGCATGTTTTCTGGGATGTTTCTTATGGTAAATGAGCTGTAACATCTGTCAGTAAAAGCATTTAACAAGAGGCAATTAGAGGAGTAACCTGTACCTCTGTTTGTTTATTATTTTAAAGAATGACTGAGTGACTTACATGGTCTGTTGTTTTGAGAGTTTTGTTACATAGAGCAGAGGAAAGGTCTCATTGAGGCTGTGTTTAACATGATGTGAGTTTAATGTTTTTAAATTGGCTACATTTAGCCTGTGACTCTTTTTCTGAAATCTGGTTCTTCTCTGTTATTTTTCTATTTCTTGCACACAATCACACAATAGCAGTTACAGATATGCCATGTGTTCAGCTGTGCATTCACACAACGAGAAAAAGTTGCTACCTAATCTATTAAAGTGTCAGAGGTAAATGCCTTTTTACCTGTGCTGTTTTGGAGGAATATGATCAGAATGTGATCGCCTTACCCTTGTGTCAGGTCCATTTACCCCATCAAACTAAAATAGAGATTTTCCAGAAACAATCCACCAAGGAATCGCTCCGACTCTGCATGAAGCCGGGTAACTCCTCTCTTAATGAAGGAAAAACAATAGAAAGTGAAAAGAAATATGAAAAACAGCTTAAATTCCAGGATATTGTTGTATGTGGTTTTCAAGAAATTAAAGGAAGCTGATAAACAGATACAGAGCTCAGTTACATTTAGAATAAGAAAGTACTTTGTAGATTGAATCACTAACCCTCTTATTGAGACCATTGGATGTTAAAAAATGATATGTAGCTGGAGGTAATATTCTGATTTAAAAAATGATACAAACCTATATTTTTAGAGATTTTCCATCCCAACGCCTCACTTTGCAGGTTGGATCAACTTCTTCACACAAAAGACGATATTTTTTTCAGACTTACAAGCTGCTCGAGCTCCACACTGATTTATGTTTTACCTACAATGACCCTATTGCACGTCATACATACCTCCCACACCTCATTTCTACCCGTTAATCATGTAAGTCCTGTCTTAACATTGCTCTCGCTATATACAGACCTCTATGACCTCCCCTAGCATGCATTCACTCGTAAATCAAAGCGCAAACTAACAAGTCAATTAGCTTTCTTTTCCTGTTGATATAACAAATCAATTAGCGCTCATGTCCTGTACATCTGAGGAGTCTGTTAGCTCTGGTTTCCTGTTTGTTTCCCGCAGGATCGAGGTGCGCTGTCAGAGCAGCTGCCTTGTTTGTGTCGGACCACATACACACATCAAACAGCTTCTAATAGCAGCCTTATCACAGCACATTACCCTCACATAAACATGAACCCTGGGTCAGGGCAGCAGGGCAGCATGTTTGCGTGTGTGTGTGTGTTTTCTGTATCCCCACCCACACTGCCTGACTACCGACAAAAAAAAGTGTAAACTGTGACTTGAGACATAATACAAGTTGATGTGATATGTCCATTCTGGGATAAACGTTATGCGTCCGTCTACAAGTAAGTGCAAAGTTCAAACCATTTTGCTTAATAAACGTGTATTTCAATGTCATTTTGATACCATGTTCAGTCCCACAATGAGGATGATGATGATTTTGAGTACATTTGATGAATGGAGCATGTCCTTTATGAAATGTTTAAATGTTTGTGCCCAATGAGTAAGGTAAGCAACATATTTCTCCCAACTACATTTTTCTTTTTTAAATATACTTTAAGGCATTTAAGGGCCATTTTAAGTTAAAAAAGTAATATAAGGGGGTAATAATCCAAGAAAAGTGAGAATTTGCAAGAATAACAATCTCTTAGATAGTGAAGTCATACATTTCTGAGGAAAAACTAATTATTTGAGATTAGTCACACATTTACTGGCAAAAGAGTGTGTGTGTGTGTGTGTGTGTGTGTGTGTGTGTGTGTGTGTGTGTGTGTGTGTGTGTGTGTGTGTGTGTTGGGGGTTAGGGTTCAAATATTTCCTAACCCTAACCCTAAGCTGACTTTTACAAAGTTGTAGCTGTTGCATTTAATGAGAAAGATATGTGACTCTTTAGCTTATCTTTCATTTGATCCATTGTTAACATGGAAATATTGATTACCCTAACCCTAACCCTGATACACTTGTAATTTTTGTTAATCTAACACCTAACCCTAACCCTAGCCACACAGCAAACAAAGTGCGCAAACACAAAAACGCGATTCAGTATATATACTGTATATAACCAATATATCAGACTCCTCCCAGTGGTAACATCAAAAAAGTTAATACATCATCTCACTGACTTCAAACTTTTGTCTGTTGCCAAGCAATAGAATTTTATTTTAATCTAGATAAATATTTTATTGTTGTCATGGTAATACTATTACAATCATCTCATGCCTTAAGAAAAATGTGTACGGCCTAAATCACTTTGCTGTATGTTGTCTATCTGTGTAGACAGCTTCATGTATTTAAAACCAGAATTATTATTATAACCATCAAATGCATTTGAAATCATGCTTGAAAACATTTCAAATAATACAATTAAAATAGTTGTTAAAGGAAAAATGGAAAAAAACAACACTGGGAATGTTTCATACAGTATGGTCTAAAGTAAAAACTAAAGTAGTTAAATAAATTAAACAAATGATTTCTTTGTGAATAAAACACACACAGCAAAGCAAGAGATAACACTGATACATAAAGTACAATACAATCATATGTCCCTTTCAAAAATGTCATTTCAGCGAGACACATGACACGGGCTATGCTGGTTAGTTCCTGATTCTCTTTTCAAAAATATACTGCATATCTATTTATATATTTATATAAACAACAACAAAACTTTTGATAATTTTCTTTTTTTTTATAATTCTAAAATACATCTATAATATTTAGAAACAATATGTACAATTCCCCCTCTCACATGTTTATGCAACATTAAACAAATTCTTCTAAAATGGAAGAATAAATTAACATCTGGAGAGGAAAACCTCTGTCTGTAAGGCCGGGGGGGGTTTAAGAGCTGATCGACTTTGTTTGTCTGACACACACTCGCTCATTCACACTCACCAAAACACACACACACACACACACACACACACACACACACACACACACACACACACACACACACGAACATATGGTTCCAGTTGTACTTATTGAAGATATGTGATATTCAGCAATAGTTTCAGGATGGTTCTCCTGTTTATTCACAGAACAGTCGCGTCAGTGAGATCTCACATTCTGCGAGGTTTGAACTTTGAATCATGAACATTACGGGAACCGATATGTTGCGTAATGTCAGTGAACGTCCAATAACGCTTCAGTTCTGTCAGCTTTGAAATTCCTCTCCTGTGTACTCACCTCTGGTGTGTAAAATAACCAATAATCCAATGAAAAAACATGAGGTTATATGAACTGACATGCTCATCAAGGCCTCAATTTGTAAGAGACATGCTCTACTGACATGATTTACCTTTCAACACAAACTTGATCTAACCTAACACCCATGGAGTGTACTGTTACCTGACAGCTAGAGTCGATTTCACGTCCTTTCTCCACGCTTTCTTTTTCTGAGTCACCAAGCCCTTATGCCGCCTCCTCTCGGTCAAACGCTGCAGGATCAGACCTCGCCTTCCACGAGACAACAGTTTATTCTCATGATGGCTGACTGTTTTAAAGCGTCCTATCCAACGCTCTATAAGAGGATCGCAGTCCATATCTTTTGGACCACTGCAAGCAATGTACAGAGGAATGCAAGTGAAGATGGCGAGAATGAGGAGGCGCTCGATGCTGAAGATATGTGATGGTGGTTGTTGTGGCTGTGGGCTCTATGAGACGGCTTCCCTGTGATGTAACCGTTGACGATGCGAACCAGTGGGGGAGGTGGAGACTGGACCATAGGTCTGTAGAGCAAAGACATGAGAGTAGAGTAGGAGAGATAGAAACATTAGATTTAAAACAATGTTTATTTATTTTTGAAATTCCCCCTAAATATTTGCTTGATTGCCTTTTAACTTAGCAACATTAGCTCTAACCCTAAACCTAGCCCAGTAAACACACATTTCAAGAAGATTTTAGCTTATTTAAAAAAAGAGATATCCAATTTTGTGTTTTGTCCTTGCTTTCCTCGATGGTTAGAGGAAGGCAGGGCTCAGTTGGAAAATAATCTGAGGTCATCTACTTAAATGCACCCAACAGGATTTAGCAACATTTAGCCAAAGCAAAGAAGCGCTATAACAAAGATGGCACATTAGAAATGGCACCAATGGTAGGAAATTGGGTGTGTAAAATACAATTATCTCCTCATTTCCTTGTCTTTTTTCCGGACCTTGTTGTATTCCGCTCTGTCATTGCTCATCTAAAACCACCACCAAGGAAAATGATGGTGTTATCTTAAAAAAAGGACTCTCTCTACATCCCTATGCCATCCACAATTGTAAGCGGAAATAAGCGGAAAGCAGGAAAAAAACAAACAATGGAAATATTAATGATGGGGAAAGCTACAAAGGGAAACTTCTCAACAAAGCAATCCACTGTTTCAGCATCGACCAATCAGCAGAGAATGTATCCGAGGCGCGCAGCTCATTGATCTGCTCGTGGCAATAAACCAACAGCCAATCAGCCGGCCTGCTTCTACTCTATTTGTCTTCCAATGCCAATATTATACATCCTGCATGTGTCTCTTTATCTGCCCTTTTCTAAACAATTCCAGCAATTAAATCATTTTTATTTTCTTGTTTGATGCCGAGACTGCAGTGCACGTGTGGTTTTGACTGGGACGAGGCCAGGCTGAACAAACACACACATTATTGAAATTTGCACAGCAGGATAGCCTCCAATATACAAGAAAATGTGATTGCAAGATAGCATTTACACTTAACTGCACTTACTATAGGCCTCTGTTTAATAGGGGAATACATTTTGACAATGTCTATCGCCATTGCTTCTTGAGTTTGGATGGCTGACTCCAATGTCTTTGGCTGAAGAAATTACACAGTTGGAGAAGTTAAGACAGTTAAGCGCCAGGCAAAATAAAATGGCTAAATATATTCTGTGTAGGAATCAGTTAAACATGAAAGTGCAGAAAGGCAGTGTGTTGACTCGTAACCAGTTGCTGTAGAATCAATGCGGCATTTTAGCAAATAAAAAGTGTTGACAAATTCCCTTCAAAAATTCAACTCGAGTGATAGATAGTGTTTATTTTTATTACTTATGGATACTTGTAGTTAATGATGTTTTCTTAGCATTGACTTGTGTTGGCTCGAGTGCTACTGCCTGCAGCTTCAGGCTCTTAATTTTTTTTTAATACGGAACATAAATTCAGACCAAGTAGGGAATACTGAGCTGCTGCCTTTTAAGCCACATTAGTTCATTTAATGTGTAAATTACTGAAGCAGATATTTGAAAGTCAAGGGAAAATATTAGCCTTTTTACAAAGTTACAAAGCGGGTTTATTTTGCTTTGAGGGCCAGAAGAGGTGTACGGAAACCAGGTGTGACACATCGCTCTGTGGCCGAGCATCAAATACAACAGAGAACTGTAGCTGCTTCTTTTTTTTGTGGACTCCCTCCAATGGGCTACCTTTTCAGACATTCAAATATACAAAGACGTGCACCGTGTACACTTTGTAACACGTGTACACAAACAGTCTGTTTCCTTTCCGCTCAAAATGCAGGTTCTCAGGAGGAGAGAAAACATTTCTGCAGACATAATGTACACAAACGCTCACAAACGCCCTCTGTTTCGGTGAAGAACAGGCACTGTATGGTCTCTTTACGTCACTAATTTGAAATAGTTTGTACTGTTTATGGAAAAATACATGTTCATACAGAGGTAGAAGTCACTCAATTCTGAATAGCAGAGACCTGCATGGTCTATTCTTTCTTTCCTGCTGGTTAGCTGCAATTAAGGATAATCATAATTTAGATATCACTGTCATAGTCATACGCTAACCAGGTAAAAATAAAAAGACTGCCACAATGAATTTTTCTTTCCTCACATTTCTTGTGTTTCTTTAACCTGTGGTTCGCTCATAACCTGGGAAAGTAAACCGTAGCACCATGGGAACATTTCAAGAAAAGACTATTTGAAGGTAACTGTGTTAACAGAAGAAGAAGAAGTCTGTTGAAAAGCAACAGCATGATATACAAACATCTCATAAGTCAGCATTATGTTATAGCCATAGGAAAAAGAGGTATATCTCACACAACTTAAGATTCTGAGAGGGCTGACTACAGCATGCAAATACATTCTCATTCAGGAGTCATTAAAAAAAAAATAACATATATAAAAAGATGTAATTGCATTGCTGAGTAATTCTAAAAAAAATAAGATTGTCATCTTAACCTTAACCCAGATGATTGTGCAGTAAAATACATATCTCTCCTTGGATAATAGGACAAATAGAGTTCGTTTTTTAAATGCAGGCTTTATTTTTCCCTTTTCTACTAATACAAGTCACTCGTGTGGATATTGACCATTATTCCCAAAATGGAAATTCCTCCATGATTAACTTAAGAAGGACCTAGTTCGTTTTTTGTGTGACATTTCCTCCCACGGTCCAAAGATCAGGTGAAGTGGAAACTATAATTGCCCGTAGGTGTGTATGAATGTGGTTGTCTGACTTTAGGTTTTGGCTAGAAACTCTAAAGCCTCTTGCCAATGCATGCTGAAATAGCTTCCAACTATGAGCAGGATAAGTGGGTGTAGAAAACAGATGCCGGGTCAAATTAATCTCTTTGTTCCCTGCCCACATGCACAATCATGCAACATAAAGGTTTGCCCTTACAACAAAATAAATTAAGTTTCAACACAGCAGACCACTCCTTTTAGTCTGAAAGGTGAGCTTGTTTTGGTGTCCGGTTAGTGCCTGCCTGGAGCTACTGTGAGACCAAAACCGGATACTTAGTAGGAATTCCCAGGCGGCTTTTTTCACATCCAAGACACTTATACCAGCTAGGAACTAGTCTGGACTTATACCCCACTGCAGAGTGTGTGTGTGTGTGTGTGTGTGTGTGTGTGTGTGTGTGTGTGTGTGTGTGTGTGTGTGTGTGTGTGTGTGTGTGTGTGTGTGTGTGTGTGTGTGTGTGTGTGTGTGTGTGTGTGTGTGTGTGTGTGTGTGAACATGTGGTGAAGTGTGTGCAGACTGCATGAAGAGTATGGTGATGTGATATGGTGGCTGTTTGAGCCTGCGGCATCCCACCAGGAAGTGTCGGGTCTATTCTATAGACATGTGGAAAGACTGCATTACACATTTTCAATTTCCCCTCTCTCTTCTCTTTTTTCGCTCAGCTTTCCTAGTTATATCCTTTTTTTCTTTTGTCCCCACAACAAAGAGACAGACAAGTCATTGATGACAGACGGATATTAGAAACTAGATCCTCTTTTCGCACTTCTTACCTCTCCTCGATGCGAACCCAGAGGTCGTTGAAATGCCGGTGCCGCTGTTTCTTCTGCTTGTTCCTCCTCTTTTTCTTCAGCATTTTCCGCTTCGCTTTCTCCAGCATCTCCAGGCTATCGGCTGGCAGCAGCATGTGGGGCAACAGATCGTCGTCCAAGGAACGCCCCTGATCGTCCTCCTTGTGGGGAAGCTCGTGGAAGAAAGGCTCCAGAAGAGGGGACTCATCGTAGAGGTCTTCTGACTCCGGAGATGATGCTCTCCTAGAGGGCGCACATCACAGGAATATGAGACACTTGTAAAGAAAGAGCTAGAAGGATTTGCCATATTTGCTTAATCGATAACTCTTGATTTGAATGGTATGAGCTTGTGGAATTATTTCTGTTTTTAATAAATAGAACCAAGACCAGCTGCACCTTCTGCATTTCAAAAATGTGTTTTGTTTGCATGCAAATAACGCAGACAAATGTGAGTCTCAACTATGCTTATTTTCCTCTATTTCCATTTTTATTTAAATGCAGGCGGCTGTCAGTGGGGTGCATGGTAGTTAAGGTTTTCAAATTCTCCGCATGGGCCGAATTGATGCCAAAACATAATTAAGTTTGGTTTTGGAAAGACCAACTCAGGTCCACCAAAAGCCAAACATCTTTGAGACATCAACTGCCTATGAGTATTATCCTGAACAAATGGATTTATGGCGAATAAATTGATTATGCTTGTTTTTGTGATTCATTGTGGAATTGTTCTCCTTATTTGTCCTTTGGAATAACTGTTCTGAACCCAGCCCTACGAAAGCTGCTTCTCCATGATGAGATAAGCTACAACATTTTCAGAGCTACAGTATCTCGATAAGTCTGATGATTAAATATTTAAATAAAGATTTCCAGTAGAGTAGGACATAGTGGACACGCTGTTAGGTTTCAAAATCCATCTTAGAAAGGACAATATCGTTAATTAAATAACGTATACGTAAATCTAATAATTAATCAAATTAGATGAAAGGGAAATAGTAGAGGAGTTGAGGATACAGTGAACCAACATCCAGTCTCTTGGACAAAATATACAAGATTTTCTGCAAAAAAAATAAAACTGACTGTTACAATACAATACGATACGATAATACTTTAATGATCAAGTCTGAAATTTGACTTGCATCACAGCGGCTCCTGTACTGTACTACTGGAATAGGAAGAATATCATCAAATATTTTGATACAAGGTCTGCTGCAGTTTAGCAGATATATCCATAGATATATTTCCAGACCCAGGTATTGTTTAAAAGATGAATTCCAGAGATGGACCTATGAAAGCAATGTAGTGTGATTGGGTCACACACAGGTTCATCTCAGGCTCATAATCCTACATCAAACGTGTGTGAAAATGTGTGTGTGTGGAAGTAGACTCACTCATTCATTGAGTCACACACACAGAGCACAGATCTGCAGAGATAGCCACCCGCACAGTGTGCTATGCTAGACTGCACTACATGCTTCACAGCAGGAGGTATGAGCCCTGCTTAGCTCGGCCTTTTCAACAACACTTCACTGGTGGCCGGTTTTATCAGATGTATCTGTGTAAGGATCTACATAGAGCCCAGTGGAAAAGGAACATCAGCATATTGTTTTTCCTAACATTAAAGTAATCCAAATATTAGATCCCTACAGCTTTCCCTCCGTCTATCAGACTTCCTTTTACAAAAATCTGAAGTTTGTTTATGATAAATGATTGAATACCGCATTTTATTCTCAAATCATATAACTAGTACTTTTGAGAATATCTGCCAATCATTTCGCAATGTAAATTAAAGTATATTAAGACAACATTAAATATACTTTTTACACAGTTTACTTTAATGTAAGGAAGTATTTGCTCTACACGTTAATCACAGAGTACCATGTTAGGCATCAGCTAATCTCTTGATCAACAGCTTGTCAAATAACAAATAATGTAGAGATAATTGTTAATCATGTACATTTAGTGCTGACATTTCAAAGCCAATGAATGTCTTTTTGGAAAACCCTTTTAGTTTTACTCCTTTTACAATTGATGTTGTTCATGGAGCCTTAACCGAGTTAGATCCTAAGAAACTGGCTGGCCCGGACAACGTAGAACCTTTCTTTTTAAAGATAGCTGCAGATTTTATTGCTCCACCTCTCACTACTCTTTTTAACCTCTCCCTCAGCACAAACACAATTCCAAAATTGTGGAAGTGAGCGTATGTCCTGCCTCTACTAAAAGGAGGGGAGGCCACTTTATTAAATAATTATAGGCCCATCTCTAAATGAGCAGTTCTGGCTATGGTTCTTGAAAGCCTAGTGAGTGAGCAGGTAAAGGGGTTTTTATGTACAAATGACATCCTGTCTAAACATTAGTCAGGCTTCAGAAAGCAACATAGCACCATCACTGCCACAATGAAAGTGGTGAATGATGTGGCAAGTTTTTTAGATAATAAGCAGAGTTGTGCAGCTCTATTTATTGACCTGTCCAAAACGTTTGATACCGTCGATCATCGCATCCTTAAAGCAGAGGCTACTCAGTATTGGCATATCCAGCCATGCAGTAGGGTGGTTTGTGAACTATCTCTCTGAAAGGTCCCAATGTGTTCACTTTGATGGGCTGTCTTCTGAGTGGTTAAACATTACTAATGGTGTTCCTCAAGTTTCTGTTTTAGGTCCACTTTTATTCTCCATCTACATCAATAGTTTAGGTGAAAATGTCGATGGAGCAACCTTACATTTTTATGCGGACGATACCGTGATGTAGCCTACTGTGCAGGTCCCTCCATTAAGGAGGCTGTTGTTGAATTGCAAGCATTTTTAAACATTATTCATACTCAGCTCTCTGAACTAAAGCTTCTTTTAAATGTTGATAAAACCAAGGTAATGCTCTTTTCAAAAGCTAAAAAGACACCAGAGCCTGTTGTAGATATTGTGACTACGCAAGGAATAAAAATTGAAGTGGTTACCTGTTACAAATACCTTGGTATCTGGCTTGATGATTGTCTCACTTTTAAACGTCATTTCAATAACCTCATTAGCATAATTGGGGATGGGCCCACCTGTAACTTTTTATGCATACTAATGTGATAGAAGCGGCATCCTTATTACTACTTCTGATATTAAATAATTTACCAATATTGCTTTAGATGCTAGAGATTAAATAATTTACCAATTATTTGCTTTTAGATGGCTAGAGATCTTATATTTTAAGGAGACCACATTTAATCTTCCTGTTTTGTTTGCCACTGTAGTATTTGTTACAAACTGTAAAGCATTAACCCATCCCTGTACCCTGTATGCAAGGGCTGGTTTGCTTTCACTAACTGTACGGAGGCTCAGTCACTGGTACATTTTTATATACAAAGCCATGTTAGGGAAACTTCCATCCTACATCTGCTCCCTGATCTCACGGCGAATTGTAAGTGGCTACTGCCTGAGATCGCATGCTGTGGTTTTATTAAATGTGCCAACTGCTAGGTCTGTCTTAGGGAAGATAGCTTTTAGATGTGCAGCTCCTCTGTCTTGGAATAGTCTGCAATTGAAATGGAAACTGAGCAATCTGGTGCCACTAAATGTTTTTAAAGCTTGGTTGGATGCTACTCAATCGGAAGCTGTTGGTACCTGCTCATGTGGATAGTATTGTAAATTGTAAACCCTGTAATGATGCTGTATGATGTCCTTTTTGTTGTTCTGTTTATGTTTTTATGTTTCATGTGGAACCTACTTGAGCAGGTCTCCCTTGAAAAAGAGATCAATGATCTCAATGGAATACACCTGGATAAATAAAGGTTTGAAAAAATGAAATGAAAATAGCCTTTTTTTTATAATATGTGATCACCAACGTCAACTAAAAAATGACCCTTTATTATGACGAGGCGAGGAAACAAGGGGCACCGGTAGAATCGCTTAACAGATAAGTAGAGTGCAATTTTTCATCATTTGCAGACAACACATTTTCTTACAAGGTCAAAGCAGAGCTTTAACATCTGTTTTGGGTCTACAAATGAACACAGACCAACTACAGAGTTGTGCTTGGAAAATGATTTCCCATTTGAAATTCAGTCAGCGAGAAAGTTGAAAGAAATATATATTCCTGTCAGGGCCATGAGGCAGCGGTTGCCCCGGTGAATGTGAACGGGACCTGAAACCTTACCCCCATTTAAGTGATAAAATATGGGCCTTGGAGTTTGACAGACTTGTGTTTTGAGAAGAAATCATAATGGGCAACAACTACGGCGAAACATAATATTTTCTGCTTGGTTATCTATCTGTCAATTTTGTATTTCTCACTTTCCACGCTATTTTCTTTGTCAGGCTCTTCCGTCTTCTCTTGTTACAGAGACATTTCTTACGCTTTTTAAGGAAAATTATTATATAAAACATGCTGGAACAGAAACGGCCCCAAGCATATTACTCATTCATCTTTGTCTTCATGAATTACTCTTGACCCATTATGTCTTTTATAATAAATAGTTTTAAAGTTGATTTTCAGATTTGAATGGTTGTGTGGGTAAAGTTTAAAGGTATTTTGGATGTTTTAATTTTCCTTTTCCTGTTTTTAGTCAAACAAAACCTTTTTTTTCTTTTGGTTACAGATTACGCAAACATAACTGTACAATGTCAAGCATTTAAATGATATTTGGCGAGTTTGACTCATAAACAATACAAAGTAAAACGCTGCATGAAAGTACAATGATTTTAAAAGGGACATTTGGATTTCTGGAGAATGAATCAAATACATTTTTTAAGTTAAAAGCTTATATCAAATTGGAAGATGTTGTGTGTGTGTGTGTGTGTGTGTGTGTGTGTGTGTGTGTGTGTGTGTGTGTGTGTGTGTGTGTGTGTGTGTGTGTGTGTGTGTTTAAGGGCCTTTGGGCAGTAAACGTACCTGTTTATGGGCTGCCCAGCAGGGGTGTGCTCCACCTCGTATCCCTGGCGACGAAGCACATCAATGACTGTATTGTTGCCTAGAAAGTGACCTGCGACCAAAAAAAACACAAAAGTGATGACCTCCACTTCTGAAAGCTAATGAGGAACTGCAAGCAAATTGAAACAAGACATTTACTACCCTTCTAACTGCACTGTTTCAGGAGATCACAGGAAAACCCAGTCATGATTTAAATACAGAAACTAGAGAGGCCACTTGGAGCGCAGACCTCTGCCAAAACCAATCTACTCCAACATTGTAATGGTTCTTCCTTGTCCGCTGCTAGACCCTTCCACCAAGTTTCATCACAAATTGGGACACTAGCTTTTCCGTACTGCTTCTGTCAAACAAACAAACCAAAAATATGTCCAGCTTTATACGTTAAATGTGGAGTAGGAGCTGGGAGGCAGTTAGCCTGGTTTAACATAAGCAGCGATTGAATAAAATAGGCTTTAGAGATTGCAATAAACATAATTAGGCTTGTTGAATTAAGCTACGTGTTAAAAAGCTAAGCTAGTTGCCTTATGGCTTCGGTACCTTATCAAACTAAAACCCATAACAATGAAATAGATCTTTCGATATTCTCGTCTAAATGTTGGTAAAAAGGTTGAACAGTTTATTTTTCCTCGGGTCCCTTCAAATTCTGCTGCCTCCTCAACGCTTCAGTTTATAACTTACATTTTTGTCCCTTTTCCCTCTGCTTTTCCATTTTCATAGACTCTCCTTTGTTTTCATTTACTTCATTATCCTTCTTCCTCTATGCTTTAACCCCCCTTGTATGTGCCACCTTTCATTCCCCCTCCAATATTCATCTCTCCATTCTCCTCCTCCCTTATCTCTAACTTCCCCCCTCTTCCTCTCGTTCTCGCTCTGACCCTCTCAGCTACGTGAAGTGGGGGCATTGAGGCTTCAGGTTGCCATGTCAAGAGGTCTCCATTCTTCCCTTCACTCTGACAAGGGGGAGCAGGGGCCCATTGTTTGGGCCTGCTCAGCCGTGGCACCACGGAGATGTGTAAACAAAGAGCCCCGGCACTTTAATCTGGCCCAGAGCCTACGATAGAGAGGTCGGCCTCGATGCACTTTGGGTGCCATGATGCTGACCCATCTCTACGACTAATACGTGTTGGCTTAAACTTTGTCCAAGTGGGTAAAAGCTTTAGGAGATGCCTAAAGGGGTAGTACTGAAAACTGCAATGTCAACATTTGATCTGTAAATTTGATAACATCTTTCTTTACTTCTAGGTGAATGCAAGTACTTAGTCAATCTGAGAGGAAAAATGTCCCATGTGCATAAAGCTTGGTAGACCTTGAAAACATGAAAAAGCCATGCTTAGCTTTTTTATTTTATTTCTTAAGATGTTTTGAAGTCTTTCTTTACAATTTTTAAGGAGTGCTTTTATCTCATTGATGCACCTATCTAAATCATCTAAGGGCTCTCCTGGGAGAAGAACAAAAGAGCCATGCATTTATTTTCTGCTTGTGAGATGAAATCATTATCAATACAGGTGGTCAGTTAAACGAATACCCAGCAGCTCCTAAACTCTCCATGGGAGTTGGAGAGAGGACAGAGGGACAGAGTTTCCCAGCCTGCCCACGTCTAGGAACAACTCAGTGTGATTTATGTGAGTTTGCGTCAGAGGATTAAGGTGGGACAAATGGGGCTGTTCGGCACAATGTAGGGCCACAGAAGGGTGGGCGGACTTCAAATCTTCAAAGGCACACACATACAAATACGTATACACACGCAAATTATACTAGGAGGTAAACCATCAATTCTGACATGTCCCCAAGGGAATTCAATGTGTTTTTTGGGGACTGGGTTTTAAAAGTTGAAGCCCTCCACCCCCAGTGCTATTATATGCTTTAGAATGTAGAAGGTATTTAAGTTACCATGCGGCAGAAAAAGATCTTGTAAAAAGGTTAAAAAAAAGTGTGGTAACATCTTATCAACAAATCTGTTTTCTCCCTATAATATTAATCTCTACAACTGGATGGAGCCAACTATACTTGTCTCACTGTGTGGATCAACTGTACAGTTTCACACACTCTAAGGAGAGAACCCATTTTTGGATCACATTTTTTTTTAATTAAGAAAGAATGACTACAGCAACCACAAGCATTTCACATAAAAAATGTTTCTGACCAGCAGTCCACCTTGACAAGAGCAAGTTTCATACTTCAAAAGAAAAAAAAAGAAACACCTGCAGCCTGCTGGTGTGCCAAAGTCATGGAATTGCAAACAGAAACGTAACTCAGACACCTTTGATTAAGTATGATTGATGCCCCGGAAAGAGGCAGAAAGTAAAAACAGAAAATAATGTTAAAAAAGTTCAGCATTTTTCCTGAAAATGGGCCTCAAGTATGATGTAGCCTTTGGCCACTAACACATCTTTGGGGCCTTAATATGCCAGGTGATTTGTGACAACTAACTCTCTGTTTCTTACTCATACTGCTAATAATTGTTATGAAGCAATACATTGGCCTGAAATTCTGTCAGAAAGAAAAAAGACAGTTTATTGTGTTTGCAAAATTACAACAATGTCGGAATTTTGTGATATACAATACAAGCCCATGTATTTCCCCCCTTTTTCTTTTAATTGACCGACAGTCAGATGCTGTCTCGTCCCATGGAGGTACATCATGTTCTACGCAGAATACTCAATCATCTGAATATCAATCTTGGATCAGTGAAAAAACAATGAATTCCTACTGGCACACAGAAAAACATCAACATCTGATTTACAGAAGACATTCTTAAAGAGTAGGTGCTCATACAGTGACTCACTGCGGAGACGAAAACTACTTCCATATTTGCTTTCCTACTTCAAACAAAACATACATGATAATTGTAAAAATATTGATGATTTGGAGCGTTCTTGTAAACATTGCAGCACTTTTATGAGCTGTATTAAGTTCTGCCACAGATGTTTTCTCTGCATGGTCCTCTTAAACATGTGTATTCACAATATCGCCATCGGTTTTTCTGGTTATTTGTAGTATGCGGAAAATCTATATACCTATTTTTGTTTTATTCCAGTTGATATGCATACAGAGTATCGTTTCAATCTCACACTATTGGTCTTAAACAAAACAGTTCTCACTTTTTAACTCACTTTAACAAAAAATCTCCACCTTTAGGCTCAATGTTTCACTTCAGTTTTGTCCTATAGGTTTCCTCAATAAGAAATAGACATCCATTCATGCTTCTACTAGAACAGTGGTTCTCAAAGTGGCATGCCAGGGGGGGCGCGAGAGACCAGGAGGAAAAACGGTTATAAAAAAAAAAGAAAAGATAAATAAATCCTAAATTGAAAAAATATTGATATGATTGATATGATATGATTATTATTGATTCAAAAATAATATGATACAGTACTATTACGTCTGGGTCTCTGTGTTTCATTAAAGCTTGGCTCTGTGTGTGTTTGGAGCGAGCCATTTTGTGTGCGCGAGCGAGAGAGAGAGAGATAGCGCACTGGTACCAGAGATCGTTGTTGTTAGCTTCTGGTGCTAGCGAGCTACGCTAACGGAGATGAGGAGTTGTTTCAACAACAAAGTGGAGGAGAGTCCTCTCCTGCTGAGAGACTCAGTGAACCAAAGGACTCTCTCAGTGTTATCTCAGTGGGTCTCAAATATTTTGGTCACCATTAATGTAAACAATTATTTCCAAGGCACACGTTAATATGATCAGTATAGTTATTAAAAAATAAGAGAATAAATGAAAAACAGGTATGAAATACTATATGACATTAAAAAAAGAATATAGTTTAAAAGGGGGTGATTTGTAAAATATCCATAAAGAAAAAGTAAATCTGTTTACAGTTCTGTTTCATATGGGTGTTGAGAGATGTATCCATAGATCTCTTCATTTTGCTCTCAAAGTGCACCAGATTGATGCTTTTAACTTCAATATTTAAAAATAAATCTTCCCGGGGGAGCTTGCCCTCGGACCCCCCTATGTGAGGTCCAATCACCACCTATAAAAACAGCACTTTACCCCTGCTTACACCTATAAGCCGTGAGCTGATTATCGAGCCTTCATTGTAACTGTCGCGGGTACACTGTGTATATGTATGGGGATTGTTACAGTAGAAAATTCCACTGTAGCGACCGGTACATTTTCAAGCTACCCCACAGCATCCCCAAAAGAAATATATGGCGCCGCCACTGAGCCTGACTATTTGTGTTGAGGGGGCCCGACTTTTTTTTTTCTCTGACAGAAAAGGTTTGAGAACCACTGTACTAGAACCAGGCCCCCGGCCCATGTTAGGACCCAGCCCACAGTTTAAGAAGCACACTTCTGAAGTGACATCTGTGACATCTGACATATATTTCCACAGATTATTTATTTAGGCCAATTTCATACATTTTAAATCTATGAAATGTGCCAAAGTATGTACTTCAATGCACAATATGTAGACTGTATGTGTTTCCAGCAGAGCTGAGCGAGGGGAGATGGTAGAGATAAAGACCAGGAACAGACCTGAAAGCTTTCATTCACAGCAAACTCCATACATGCAGCCACTTTCATACATGGCACCGCTGAGTTGGAGGGTCATAGATTAGCTCATGTCACGCTTATAGAAACGTACAGAGTTGTTATTATATTGACTGAACTTTTCTATGAAGTGACAGCTTCTATAAGAGTCAGCCATTGGAGGAAACACAATGGCTGAGGCATGGTGAGGCTGGGTGTACAAAGACACAGCGTTCACACCAAAGACCAAAGTTAATGTCCCATATCCAAGATGTTTTTACGTGAAAGCTCCTAAAACACTTGGTTGAAGTCACAGAAGATTAATCGATTCATCTGCCCATGGTATTTGAGATTAATCATCTGGTCTAAAAATATGTCTATCCCTTGTCCTCAAAGGTCCAAGGTGATGTCTTTGAAAAGTCCAAACATCATAGAATGTTAGCTTAATATGACATAATAGAGAATAACATAAAATATCTGCATTTTTTGCCATTTTAATCTTCAACTCAATGTTCACTTATCCAGTATGTCCATGTTAATTTCCGATTTTATCTTAAATCTCATGAAGACATCAA